ACGGCACTGCCGCAGCGCACGCACGCGCACGCACGCACGTCCACGCACGTACGCACACATGTATGCACCACACATACGGACATTCATAGTCCTTATATAATATATATATATATTTCGATATAACGGATTGCCGTCACACGGTCACACGCGTTTCAAAACACATTTGAGTAGACGGGTCAGAAAGCGAGATCGATAACGCCGTTGGCATACCGTTGAAATTCTAAATCATGAAATAACATAAAAGTTAGATGCCATACGGGCCAGCAGAAGCGCGAAAGATGGATGCGGCTGTGTGTGTGCGTGCGTGCTGCGTGCGTGCGGGGCCGTGCGTCGCGTTGCGTGCGGTGTCGTGCGCGAGCCGTGCGTGGTCGTTGGCTGTGCGCGCGGCGTGCGGTGCCGTGCGTGCCGCTCCGTGCGCTGCGTCGTGGTTGCGTGCTGCCTGTGTGCATGCGTGTGGGGGGTGTTCCGGTGCCGTGCCGTGTGTGTGTCTGTGGTGGTGTGTTGGTGGTGTGTGGTGTGCTGTGTGTGATGTGATCTGTATGCGCGGGCGCGCGTGTGTGTGCGTGTGGGTGGGAGGAAGGAGCAGAAATAAATAGGGAAGGTGAATCCTGGGCAAAAGGAGGACAAAGAGACTAACTGTACAGGTGTCTGTGCAGAAGAGATAAGAAGAGTTAGACTCGCTCCTATTCGTATAAAATACGTACTCGTCTTCTCTACACGGGAAAGAGAATTAAACAGATTGTCGCACACCAATAGTAAAATTTGCATCGAGCATCCCCCCCCCTCCCCCAGCATTGATCCCTCTAACTATTTTGGTACACGCCTCGCGCACCGCGGTAGTTTATTTCCAATAAGTAGCTTCTTTCTAGCAATTTCGTTCTTGCATAAGTAGTTCTCGCAGTGTGTCTTAATTGGCTTGCCCCGGGGTTCAGTGATGTGTTTCTTGGCTAATGGACGCACATCACTGTTTACAAGTTAGCGTCACGTTTGAACAATGACGATGACACGTAAGGAGAGAGGTTCCTATTCGTTCATGAAGGGCCGCGTAGTTCATAGCTCCGAAGTTCATTGATGTGTGGTTCATATCTGTGTGGTTCATAGCTGTGTAGTTCATAGCTGTTTGGTTCATAGCGTTGTAGTTCATAGCTGTTTGGCTCATAGCGTTGTAGTTCATAGCTGTGTAGTTCATAGCTGCTTGGTTCATAGCTGTGTAGTTCATAGCTGCTTGGTTCATAACTTGGCGGTTCATCGCTGTTGTTCAGAACAGCGCGGTATATAATAGTATACCGAGTCCGTGAACGCTCGTCAGAAATCTCTCAGGATCAGGGGCGAACAGATGGGTTGCCCCCTCCTTGCACACGTACGTCCTCTTTGTTTCTCCGCTTCTCCATCAACGCTCTCATCCGAACAAGGATGTGGCTGTGCGCAAAGAAACGCGTGCTTACGGCTGCCTCGGCTCTGTCAATCAGTTCCGCCTAAATATATCGCGCTTGTATTTTTCATGAAAGCCGCCTTTTGTCCGTCGTTGACGTTGTCTTCGTGACTATGCGTTCAGGTTAAAACGTTAATTAAGTAGCGGCTGTCGGTGTCACTTGCGTTGGTAGATCACAACTACAAGCAAACCGTCTGTACCCGGGGCCCTGTGCGCGCGTTTGACAGGCTACACGATTGGTGGTATGTATGCGATATAATATACGCTACTAATACATGAGGCCAAGTGTGAACGTGGAGAATTGTGCATCAAAACTGTTATATATCTGCACAGCGTATTAGAAGAAAAGCACAACTAACCTCTACACGCATCGTGATCATGATTTTTATTTCCGTTACACCCACTAATCGTGAAATGAGAAATAAACTTAAAAAGCAAAAAATCTTTTCTTAAAACTCGTCTGCCGAATAACTTAACTCTGGCGTCTGTCATTGACTGGTCCTACGCGGCCTGAGCTGTTCATTCTGAAGGTGTAGCCGCGCAAATTCGCCAGGCTAGCTTTCCAGCTAAGAATCACAGCTAAGAAAATGTTCTGTGTGATCGGTCGTCTTCCTCAAGTGATAATTATAATATATATTTATATATAAGGATCAATTATAATAACCAGTCAACGTTAGCAATGAATGTGTCTGAAGAGCAGATACCAAAAGCTTGCATATAAACAGGTTGTTGTGGTCGCTTAGCAAATTATCAATTGCACTCTTACTTACCACCGCCACGCCGCGACATTTGAAAGCGATTACAGCAGGTTTTGATGCCTGAAGTCATGTTTCTGCATCCATTGACGACGCAACTGACAGAATGCTAGTAGGAAGCGAATGTGTTGATGAGATAAAGTTCATACCGGTGTCATTTCGAGTAAAAGTTTTATTTTCAATTCCCCCCCCCCATTAAAATGAAATGAAAATAATCCGGATATGATGATGTAATCGCCTGCGGATGTTGCTAGACAACAATCTGATTACGGCGTTGACTGTTCAGCTACAATGAAAGCAACATTCGATTTTCACTACAAAGTAGGCATCCATCACATTTGACAACCGTTGACCATTCTCTATAGCAACGTCCACAACGACACCCAACGCTGATGATTACGTACAAGTGAGCTGACCACGAATCTAAATATCAGCCCCCAGCCTTCCCTTAAGCTAGCAGCGCACTTCACCATTTTCGTTGCTCGTACAGGCAATTTTCGTGGTCGGCAATTTTTGTGGCTGTTGCCGCGTCACAGCACACTTCACCACAAGTTGCCACCACGAGCAATTTTCGTGGTGAGAAATCAAACCGGTTTGATTCTCGGCAACTCGTGGTCACCACTAAATTTTGGTGGTGAGTGGTCGTTGCCGGCCCGCGCAGTTGCTGCCCGCTTTAGGACCTCCCCCCTCCAACCGTAAAATTTCGAACAGAAGACGTAACAAACGCCTAGGGGACACTGCAGCGTGGTATACATCACTCTATGATAAACTTCCCCCTTTCACATTACCCGCGGTCATTAAAGGTCAAGCCCTGTTATGCACATGTGCAAATGCGCCATGCGCTCTGCTAGACATGCCAATGCGCATGCGTGATGTAGAGGGCGTACGTTGGTTATAGGGGGATGTATCCCATGCTACATAAGCGTTGATTCGCGGTCGTATACGTGTTGAACAACAGTAGAGGGCGTCCATAGGCTGCAGGCCTGAATAAGCATCGAACAGAAATTAATTAAAAATACTCACACTGTTACTACACTTACAAAACATACACTTTATTCATGTTAAATAACTACAGATTTATGCTCTATGCTCCGCTCGAAACTTTTGCCAGCTCTATGATGCGAATTTCTGCAAAGTTGTCTGAACACATTTCATACACAAAAAACACCATCCGGTGACTGTGGCTACGCCACCTGACGGAATGTCACGAATACACAACAATAATAATTTTACTTCTAATGCTTTATCGACGTCCACGAGGCATCCACCTTGCGTGCATAATGCTAATTATTGCACTCTAGTGCCGAATTTCGGCGAAAAAAAATGCCAAAAAAGGCCGTTTCTAGAGACGAAATAGTGCATCGGTGAACAATCGCGGAAGCTTACTGTTATACGCCTCCTATAGCTGGTGTCTCTTTCTCCCTCCTTGCAAAGAGACCCGCATGACTGTCTTTTCAGTAAGAGTTTCACAAAACGATTTCGGGCATTGTTACATACAGGCGTTCTACGGCGCGGTACGATCGAATAAATTATAACACGAGTCAAAAATCAGCTACGCCAAAGAAATGAAGATTTTTCTATTGCGAAACAAAGTGAACTCGAGAGTGCTGTACCGGAAAGTTGGCTACGAATCGTCTGTGTGTGTACGTGGTGCATACCATCAGTAGGAGCCGCGGTGGGAGGTGAAATATGGGTGTTATACGATGAAGGATATGGGTCACTGGAGATGAAATGACTTGCAAACAAGAATGTCAAGCGTTGAATTTGTGAAATGCAAAAAAATGGAATGACTGAACCATTATTAAAAGCGATATAGTCTCTTGGTAACGATGTAGGGCAGGTCAAATAGGTCGTGGTGGTAATTCAAATTATGAATTGGCGATTTAGCTGAACTATAACGCAGTATAATTGCTCTAACATTAAACTGGGACGAGATAGTCTGTCTGCGCTGACAATTTTAAAACTCGATCAACATTAATAGTAATAGATGCTCATAAATTTGTCCTCACTACTTATATATCATATATAATTATTAAGTTTATATCAATTAATTAATTTATTATATTACTATATGTAATATATATTATATATATATACGTAGTGCGGCAAAATTGATACAACAGGCATGACATAGTAGGCGCAATACACAAAACATATACGCGTATTTTTACAGTACACTACACTTCCTTATAGACCTGGCGAACGCTGTAAAACGTTGCAGTTATAACACAATAGCGGCCTCTTTGTAGGGGTTACGTTAACAATCTTACCGCATCATTGGGTACGCGTAAGAGCTGCAATGCGGCTGTGACCAAGCCATAAAATCCACAATTTTTGATCTTACGTACATACGAGGTCTTGCCATATCTTTGTGTCAAACATTGAGACACGTGTATTCTACTGCTACTATTACAACCACTGCGTTATTACCTGGTTAACTATAACTACCTATCTATCTAACTAACTGATCATGAGTAATCGGAGATCAGCGATTGTTCAGTTACTGGTACTGACGGGGTATTGTTATAGAACATAACGAAAAGTGTTCTAATAAAACTGAATATATATATATATATATATATATATATATATATAAAAATAAATATATATATATATTATAGATATATATACGCGAATTTATGGCTCCATATTCGGTGCAGACAGTGTGCGTTTTATCGTGCGAACTCAGATCTGTTGATGTAACCCGTCAGCCGCTCAGTTCGCCTATAAAACTACATTGTTCTCGGATGAGTCGCTCGGTACGCCTATATGGCCCTCTCTCTGTAGCATCCTGGTCACAAATTCACGCTCACATGCCGCAGACAAACTCACGTCTCTGTGCGGGAATCGTCGACTGCTGTCGTGTCCACAGCGAGTTTGACTGTATGTCTATATACCGAACGATTCATACCTCTGCACACACTGAATAAACATGCGCGAGCGCGCCTAAACGGTAAAGGATTGCTGAACTAGATTTGTATAAATGTAAGAAAGATGGCGCATGATTCGTGTTTTAGTATTGCACGGTATATTTTTAATATAGGCATGTGTGCGTGTGTGTGTGTGTGTGTGTGTGTGTGTGTGTGTGTGTGTGTGTGTGTGTGTGTGTGTGTGTGTATGTGTGTGTTGTGTGTGTGTGTGTGTGTGTGGTGTGTGTGTGTGTGCGCGCGCGCGCGTGCGTGTGTGTTTTGTTTGTATGTAGTATGTTGTATGTATGTATGTATGTATGTATGTATGTATGTATGTATGTATGTATGTATTGTATGTATGTAGTGTATGTATGTATGTAATGTATGTATGTATGTATGTATGTATGTATGTATGTATGTATGTATGTATGTGTGTGTGTGTGTGTGTGTGTGTGTGTGTGTGTGTGGTGTGTGTGTGTGTGTTGTATGTATGTATGTATGTATGTATGTATGTATGTATGTGCGTGCGTGCGTCGTGCTGCGTGCGTGTGTGTGTGTGTGTGTGTGTGTGTGTGTGTGTGTGTGTATGTGTGTGTGTGTGTGTGAGTGTGGTGTGTGGTGTGTGTGTGTGGTGTTGTGTGTATGCGCGCGCGCGCGCGCGTGTGCCTGTGCGTGTGTGCGTGCGTGTGTTAGTAGCTATCAAGTGTTCTGCATTCTTCATAATATCATCAGCAGCAATATTATGGAATGCTTTATTATCTTTATATTAACCTCAGTAGCCCAATACTCCTAAAAGAAGAAAAACTAGTAAAAATGAAGGAGTCGATCTCTGCATATATGACTATACACCCAGAAAGAATGAAACCTGCATGCACACCAGCATAGAGAACACCTATGGGAAATCCTTTCTGCCTCTCAAATGAAACGCCGCAGCACGAGATTCTATTCGCATCGAATTTTCAAGGACAACGATTCTAGCTTTTCAAGCTCACGATAAACTCGTTGTATTTACTCTATAAGCTTTTAAGGCGAGATCGACGTTTGCTTTTGGCTCTCCATTGTCACGAGCAAATATTCTCACTCGAGTCGTCGGGGTTCGTGCGCCAATCGGCCTAGATACTCTGATTCTACCCCTCTATGGATGCAATATGGGTCACCGTAGCAGAAGGATTACAGACAGCCCACTAAGCCCACTAACATTCACGGACGAAGAAAGAATACGGAAGACATAGCAGCGTCACGTTGTGGGAAGTCCCAGCGGGTGTATGGGGGCGGGCGCACGAGTTGTGTGAATGAAAGAAGCATTTATGCATTTCGGTAAAACCAGACGATGATCGTATAGCGAATACGCGCATCTATACTATAAACCGAGTGACTCTGTGTGGGAATCGTACTTATTGTGCATGATCTACATACATACATACATAAACGTACATTAACGTATATTCGTGCACGAAACCTCATGCGCGCGCCTGCTTATGTATACTGCCCGTAGCAGTGGTGTCATAATTATAGACAGAGTCAAGGTATTATTAGCCCTTGACATAGTCTATAATACAGTATATATCATAACACTGCTGCGTCATAACATAGACATATATAGTCTATAATATAGTCGATATTATGACACTCCTGCCCATAGTACATTGTCGCCTCAGATTTTGGCCGTCTTCGTCGCAGGAAATCGAGCCACGTTTTTTGGCGCACAACGGCCAATATCAAGAGCTAATACATTGTATTATTCGCTCTTGCCAGTATCTCATAAACTCTGCGGTCACGTTCTAAGGCCCTGTTCAATTCTGGTTGTTTTTCAGTACGATGTAACAACCCAGAGGTGCCCGCCAATGGCATGGTAGAGTTCTCTAGCACAACATTCGATCCCGGAACAGAAGCAAAGTATGCGTGCGAAAAAGGATTTGACCTCCTTGGGATGGAAGCGCGACTTTGCCAAGCTGATGGTACCTGGTCAAACATGTCACCGCTATGTGGTACGTTCTGGTCACGAGTTCACTGTGTGATTTCGCTCTTGGACGGGAAATCATAAATTCATCGCCTGTTCTGTACACGCGTTTCATCATACTATTTTAAAACGAACGGGCTATCCTGCCCATTAGGGTGATAGATAAATGAACACAAGCATAAAGAAACGAACTCACCATTCGTATTCAGTATCGTCTCCGCTACGTACTATGCAATAATATTAGGAGTAACATAACAGATACGTTATTATATTACTCCGCATATGTTATTGATGTATCGATTTATTGATTGCTTAATTGATTGGTTAATTGGTTATTGGTTGAATAATTGTTTAATTGATTGATTGATTAATTAGTTGATTGGTGAATTAATTGCTTGATTGATTGATTGATCGATCGATCGATTCTAAAACATGTTACCAATTGTCTGACATTATTGTCGAATACCTATCACCTACACATCTCACTCTAAAAACGACGCAGCGCTGGAAGTGGGAAATGGAAAGCCAGCCATCCAGTCATCCACCAGCGACGGTAGAGGCGCGGCCTTAGCCAACGACGGCAGAAGAGAGCAGACGTTCAATAAAGGCTCGTGTTCGACGACCGACTGGCAGAACGCCCCCTGGTGGTCCGTCAATCTACTAATGAGCGTAGAAGTCACTGCCATCCGGATACTTAACGTAGCCGAGAACTGCTGTGGTAAGGGTGCCGTCATTTATCGTATATATCCACGTATTTACATTAAATAGTGAGCGATGTTTAATTAAACTGCACCCACTCCCTCTTATGATTACGTACTCTTATGATTGTTGGTTTTATGCGAGGAAATAAGGAAGGCCGTCCTCTCTGAGATGCAAATTATATATATATATATATATATATATATATATATATCATCTAATGCTTCCATTTTATCCAAGATACCGCAGCTGCAGGCTGATATCTAAGTTATTTTCTTTTTTTAATCGGGTCTCTTAGATGACCGTGCGTCCGTGACTGATGGCGGTGACTGCAGTTGATCGAGGCTATATACAAATATTGTTTTATATTCTGGGTGACAGCATTTATTTACTCTCTACGATTTCAGCCCACGGTGCAACCGTGGATATATTTTGTACGAAGCCGATTCGGGGACAATACGTGACAATACAGATTCTACCAGAGCCGAAAGAATACCAGATACTCAACCTATGTGAAGTATCTATTTTCGCGCTCAATGGTAAGTACGTGGACTCAGTAAAGCATGGCACTGTAACGCAAGAAACGCGAAGATGCACCACGCGCAAGCAGACATACCGACTGAAAGTTATTTGACAATGTAACCTGTTATTTTGGTGGTGATTAATCAATAGCAATTAAAAGCCAATTCGGGTTCCTATATGCGTGTATGCGTAAACGTGTAGGCCTACCTGTAACATTATCTGAAAAGGGAGTCCAATGAACTTTTTTGGAACATCTGATACTCTTTAGTCAGTGGATCGACCTTGAGTTGAAGTTGATTTTGAACTCAAACTTGAAGCCGATCAATCAACTTGATTGGAAAAAAATCCAGTCGAAATTGGAATTCGAAATTCATTCGAAAAAACTTTCCAGCGTGGGAAAGTGTTTGTTCTCTAGCGCTTATTTCCTCTACGGCCGTTTGCAGCGTTGGACAGAAGCAAATGTCCAGAACCGGGCGATCTGTTTGCACCGGTCCCCGCGTTAAGGGTGTTCGAGGACAAGTGCTATCTCTTCATCAACGACGGCGCGATGAGAAAGCCTTGGTCGGAGGCCAGGAGGCAGTGCATGACGTTCAACGGTAAACTGGCCGAAGTGCGAAGCAAAAAACTAGAAGGGTAAGAGACAACGTGCGAGCAAATTCTGGCAATCACTTGTAGTATACATGGATTGATTTGATTGATGATGTAGTTACGGTACGTTCTAGGAGTGTCTATTTTGTGTTCCTAATGGATAGATATTACAATTATAAATAAATAAATAAATAAATAAATAACTAGATAAATAAATAAACAAACAAATAAATAAATAAATAAATGAATAAATACATAAATAAATAAATAAAACCAATAAATAAACAAATAATACAAATTAATATCTACTTATTTATTTATCTATGTATATAATATGTAAGCTTAGTAATATGTTGTTCTTTGGTTAATTTCTCCATAGGTTCCTTGGTTTCCATTTGGATGCGATCACTAAGACTGCCGGGCGGGATTACTACTGGATTGGAGCAAAGAGATATAACACCACTAGCGACAAATGGATCTGGTCTAATGGTAAGCAGGAAATAATTACATTCCGCTTGTTATGCACTGGTCGTCAGCTAGATTTGGTAGCTGTTCCTATATGCATTGCCGTGCGTATTTCTCTTAATAAGCTATTATCTATTCTCATCTTGGCTTTGTTCATGCATGAATGCAGGTGCCACGATCCACAAAATTGTAATAAAAATATCCTGTCTTGAATTGATTGTGGAGTATGTATAGTCTGAACTGGGTTTGCATATACACATCATACTTATACCCTGCAAAAGCTACAGGTAGAGTTATAGATATAATCAGGAGTGAATGAAACAACAACAACAAAAACAACAAATCAACAAACAACAAAATAACAAACAGCTAAATTTGTTTTAAATTTACTTTTATAATAGAATCTCGCCATTGCTTTCCTAGCTTCAAGCTCTCGTAGTTTCTATCGGGGGTTTCCAAATCGCATACGTACGAGATGACTCACGTTCTTAAGACACTTACATCTATATCGTTAATTCGTATGGGTTGGGTTTTTCTTTATTCATTATTTACATCATATACGTCATTTATCTACATGTAACCTTTTCGCTCCCACACCTTACGTACCCGCCATGCTTGAGCCACTAAGAGAAAAGGTCGCAAAACCCGTCGTGCGTATCAAGTAAGAGACGTACGAAGAATAAAATTTATTCTTGCCCCATCTCCTCGCCGACATTACAGGCGATGCGGTGGTTAACATGACCTTCATTTACCAAATCTCATACGTACATGCATCTATTACATCCGTTATCAGTCATTTATCTTCCCGCAAACCTTTACACGCCCACACCTTATGTTTGAGCCACTTAAAGAAACGGTCGTAAAGCCCCTAGACATGCTAAGAATACGATTAATTCCTGCCCCCGGACACTAAAGGCGGTGCTGTGAACATGACCTTCTGGGGACCAGCGCAGCCGAATAACTTCCGCGGCAATCAGCACTGCGTGGGCTTCAACTGGATCAGCGCTTCCGAGGCGGGCCTGGAGGACTGGACGGAGGGCTGGTACTGGTACGACGTGCAGTGCGAGCGCAACCATTCCTTCATTTGTCAGTACGGTGAGTGTGTATATAGAGTGCATGGGCAGAATGGCTTCATTCGTGAACGTTAGAGGAAAATCGGAAATGTTATTCGAGACATTGGACGTCTAGTGACATCTGGATATCGTGAGAATTACAGTGGCAAGAAGATGAGGAGGCTAATATGAAAGATAGCAGATTGCACCGTATAAATATCGCTGTTGCAATGAGGGGAAACGAGAGTGATGGATAGAGAGGAGAAATGTGCATGCTTAATAAACGCACGCATACTCGCTAGCCCGTGTAGAGAACGAATTCTGTAGAAATATAAATGAGAATGTTATTTATTCAGAAAGCGTGCAACCGTCAGAGTATGGGCCTAGTTTTAGCTCACGTCTTATGCTCATAAGCTATTTTTTCAAAGGTGATTTCACACTGTGCCGCTCCAGTGGCGAGCTAGATCACCTTAATAAGAATGTCATTTTGTGAGTGATAAATGTTCATGTTACGATCTAGTTAATAGTTTATCCACGATTCGATACAAAGAGTAAAATAGCGTGCGTGCGCTCGAGCCGGTGGTTGGGCGGACGTTCGTGCATCGGTGTGTCCGTGCGTTCGTGCTTGTGGGCGTGCGTACGTGCGTGCGTGCGTGCGTGCGTGCGTGCGTGCGGGGGTGCGCGTGCGGGAGTGCGGGAGTGAGGGAGTGCGGGAGTGCAGGCGTGCATGCGTGATAACGAGAGATAGGAGACGATATATATATATACAGACAGAGAGAGAAAGAAAGAAAGAGAGAGAGAGAGAGAGAAAGAGAGAGAAAGAGAGAGCGAGAGAGAGAAAGAGAGAGGGATATTGAAACACGGGAGAATAAAGGGTGCGTTAGTGAGCAAAAGAAGAGAGTGCACGCGCCAACTGCTTAGCATTCCAATACGGACACCATTATCACATCAATTCCTTTTTAATTCTCTGCACAGATCCTGTGTCATGTAGTGTCCCTCCGATACCCGCTGGATCATTGCTCATCGTGCCTCCATCGCTTAATCAAGTCGGTTTTCAAATCGGAGATAAAATAGAGTACCGCTGTCAGCCCGGTCACGTGATGATGGGAGAACCAATCACCACGTGTTTGAAGACTGGACAGTGGAACGACCTGCGACGCTATTGTCTATGTGAGTTCAACATGATTTTACGTAGAAATGAGTGACGTTCTGTTATTGAATTCTGTGTGAATTCGTTATCCTATGTTGAACGTCCGTGCTGCTGTGCTGCTCGAAAGATTACCATGCAACACTATATGCGGTGCGCAAATGCGCGAATTTATGTTTACGAACAATTAAGCGACAGAACTTACTGAACTGTAGCTGTAACTGAAGTAAAGTAAACTATAAAAAATAACTAAAATATTATTTTATTGGAGGGTGCAAAACACTGAACAGCCGGTTATTCGTATAACATGCTCAAATGCGGAATCTTGACTCGCCACGTCAACTCTTTACAGACGAACTTACTTTTCAGCTTGCTTACTCTTATTTACAAAACCTTGCAGACGTGAACTGTGCGTTGCCCGCTACGCTACGCAACGGCCAGTTCATCTTGCTAGACAATGCGACGCACTACGGTGGACGCGTTGAGCGTAGATGCAAGCCGAACTACATGCTGGAGGGGCCAGCCGAAGGCATGTGTCTCGCAAACGGAACCTGGAGCGGTGCTGACGTAAAGTGCAAACGTAAGTGTAAACAGTTGTAGTATCGTTTACATCAACAATATAAATATATATATATATTTATGAGCGACACATATGTGCGAACATGCAACAGTATATATGAGGAGAATAACTTATTGGTTCGTTTACAACTATATCTGAAGAGGTCACGTTTATTTCATTCAGGCATGACAATTTGGATTGGATTTAGTACTCACGCACAATCACTCACACACGCACGCACTCGCGCGTATAAATAAATAAATAAATAAATAAATAAATAAATAAATAAATAATATATATATATATATACACGTGTGTGTGTGTGTGTGTGTGTGTGTGTGTGTGTGTGTGCTGTCACGCTACCCCCCCTGTCACCCTACCCCTGCTACCCTACCCCTGTCACCCTACCCAGGTCACCCTACCCCCGTCACCCTACCCTTGACACCCTACCCCGTCACTCTCCACTTCTGTCGCGCTACCACCAAACACTCTGACACCTGTTATGTACCCCGTTACCGCTATCCCTGTCACCGGCCTATCCCACCACTCCACTTCTGTCGCGCTACCCCCATCACTCTACCCCCGTACTGTAACCCCGCCTCCCTACCCCTGACACTCTACCTCTTACACTCTTACTAACCCCCCCGTCACTCCCTTCTTGTCGCGCTACCCCATCAATACTATCCCCAGTACGGGTAACAGCACCATCACCGGTAAGTCGGGCCCTCGTGGACGCGTTTCAAGTCAGGTTATCTTTGAACGCAGGTTATCTGAGGGCGCTCGTGTGCGCTGAGCGCGCGTGGCGAGCGCTGTGGGATGTCACGCACGCCGCGTGGTTCCGTGGTAAGCCGCCCCGTTTGTCGAACATGATAATGTCTTGAGCGAGGAGCAATGACTATACATAGCCTTCATCGTGGCCGGACGCGGTCCGCCGGGGAGAATAGAGAAGAGGGGAGAAGGTCATTCGAGGAAATGCATACAGATGACGCGGCTGGGGCAAGTAGTGAGCTGAAATTTCTGGGGGAGTCTATACAGTGAATTGCTAGGGAAAATGATAGAAAGGGTTAACTGGCGACAAAAGATAGAGGGATTCGCTAGAGCTAGTGAAGGGGTTACTGGAAGCAAGTTGCTAGGGCATGGGTACAGATAAGATGTGTTTGGGGAAATGAGATAGAATGAGCGTCGAATAAAGTGCACAGCTGATAAGTAACTGGAGGCGATAGGATAGAGAAGTCGAGAAAACAAAGATAAATGAGAGACAGTCGTAAAAGCTATATATGAAATGGAAACAAAAGCATGTGGGGCCATGTTTGGAACCATTCTGCAATGTTAAATATCATAAGTGCATATTAGAACCGCGCATAGCACTTCACTCGCTTTAGTTATAGTGGACCGATTTGCTATTCATCAAAGGCATTCGCGCATGCTCATCTGTCTACGCCACCTACGCTCGACACTTCCGCGATGCGGCTCCCGTCGTGACGAGTCCCTGAATGGCGGTCTCATGCCACGCGTACGGAGTCCGAACTAGCATCAAGGACGCCCCGCGCGTCATTGTTCAATTACTCGTGAGGCGGATACTTTTTAATATTCATTTATGGGCGGCCGACTCGGCAATTACAGGCTTCCACAGAACTTAAATTCGTCAATTATCAGAGCAAGAACAACGGGCTTGAGTAGATGCGTTGCTAGCTGTGCTGCTGGCAGGGGTCAGGTCTCCGGTAGTCGTCGTCCGTCTTAAGCCGCACGCTGCCGTCTCCAACGGCCATGTTATGAGATGATTCCTCATCTTTTGCGAAGGATGCTCGTGCGTTACGGAGGAATGTTCCGCTGTTAAATGACAGATCCGTGAACCGCCACTGGCAGCTACTGCGGTCGCGGTTGATGCTGTGTGCGGTGCTTGTAGTGGGGGTGAGGGTGGTGCGTGGCGCTGCCGCTTGTTGGTATCTGTGCTGTGTGCGGCCCCGCAGTCTCGACGACACGCTGCTGCCGCTTCTGCGTGCTGCTGCTACAACAACAACAAGCAACAGATCAACAACAAACAACAACAACTACTATACTACTGTTATCTACTAACATCTAATAATTGGTAATAATTAAGAGTGCTGCTGCTGATGCTGCTCACTGCTGTGCTCCGCCTCCTCCTCCCCTCCTCCTCTCCCTCCTCCTCCTCTCCTACTGATGCTGCGGCTGCTGCGTTACTGGTTACCAGCAGGAGAACACATTCACGGCGATTTCGGTGAACGGTGCGTTGATGGTCGGCATAGTCGAGTCGAGTACTAGCATGTTGGTGTTAGCGGCGTGGTTGCCGAGCGTGGCCGCGAGTGCATGATGACAAGATCGCTGATTCATCGCGGGTCCCTTGTGCCGCCGCTGCGACATAGATTAAGATCGGCGACACCGCACGCGATTAGTGCGATGGCAATGATGCAGCGAGTTACGCGCTGTCAGCTATAGTATAGCGGGCCGTCAATCCCCGATGTTGGCTACGCAGTGAGGCAGGAGGGTTGGATAGTAGTGCGTGTGTGTGGGTGTGTTGTGTGTGGTGTGGTGTGTGTGTGCGTGTGTGTGTGTGTGTGGGTGGTGTGTGTGTGGTTGTGTGTGTGTGTGGTGTGTGTGTGTGTGTGTGTGTGTGTGTGTGTGTGTGTGTGTGTGTGTGTGTGTGTGTGTGTGTTAGTTGCTGTGTATGTGTGTGTGTGTTGTGTGTGTGGTGTGGTGTGTTGTGTGTAGTGTGTGTGTGTGTACTGGGTGTAGTGTATCGTTCCCTACCTACAGCCTGCGTGCACGCACACTCACGCAACCCTGCGCGGCACGCACACTCACGTAACCATGCAGCGCACGCACACTCCACGTAACTATGGCACGCACGCACACTAACGGCAACCGATGCACGGCACGGCAGTACCACGCAACCATGCACCGCACCGCAACGCACGCAGTGAGAGAATAGGAGGAATGGAGCACTCGGGACTAATTACAAAGATAAATGTATCGCCTGCGGCTGGCATTGCTCGAGTTTGATTTATATATTGTCGACCACTACGAGAAAGGAAATAGTCGTAAGATTACGTCAACTAATGTGGTTATCCTATCGATGTGTGGTTATCGCCGCGCTGCTATCCTTACAACGAAACCCAAATGAAAACAGCTAATACCGTAATCACACATTTGACAGACACGACCGTCAAGTCGTACTCGCGGCACGCGCTGCACAGTGGCGCGCGCGCCGTGAAACGCACACCTCATGGCGACACAACGCGTACACTTCGAGAAATAATCAGACGAATGTAAATATACACGATGTACCCATCGAGAACACGCCACTACATGCATACATATATAAAAAGATACATAAGAAGCTGTGTAGTGTGGTGGTGTGTGTGTGTGTTGTGTGTGTGTGTGTGTGTGGTTGTGTTGTGTGTGTGTGCGCGCGCGGCAGCGCGAGACGCGCGCATCATGAATGTATACATTCGCAGTTATATGTACAGTGTTTGTGCGTGTGCACTGCATGTGTGTATGGATGCGCAGTGCGTGAATGTGTGCACGGGTTTTCCAAAAAGAAAAATGATAAAAAACATCATCGCAGTAGGTGAAATCCAGACAGAGGAGAGAGAGAGGCAGAGAATATGAGAGAGATATGAGAGCGGAGAGAGAGATGAGATAGAGAGAGAGAGAAGCCAGGGAAGTGGTGAGGAGAAGATTGGAGACACCGCCTGGGAGAGAAGAAGAGAGAGCGAGAGAGGGCAGAAAGAGAGAAAGAGAGAACGAGAAGCAGAAGAAAGAAAGAAAGAGAGAGAGAGAGAGAGCGAGAGCGATCGGAGAGAAAAATGTCTATAAGATAAAACGAATCGCATCAGAGTTAAATAGATTCACACGCTTTTCGTATTTGATAATAGAAATTACTTCAAACGAATTTGAAGTTATGTTCGGCGCTCCTTGCCCCTTACAATAACTCTGACTGCGTAACACTCCCAGACAAAAATCAGAGTAGACTGGCGAAGCAAAGTCCGAGATAGAACTCATTTTCTATAATGTGTTTAAATAATGTAAAAATTAGTTAACTAATAATGATAAATATTTCAAGCATAATACAAGATAATTATAATACATTATTAATTATTATTGTTTTTATGTATTATTAGCATTGTCGCAAAATATCACCAGCGCAATTCTGGGTTCGACAGTACAATATACATATTCTAATTGATGTTAATGTTTATCTAAAAACGTAACACGTGTTTTTGCCATTCGAGGAGCATATATATTGATAATAGATATCAGGTGTGATGCCTGTGAGCGGCTACTCAACACAGCCAATCCGTTATACTTCCGCCAGGGGCTATGCGGGGGCTATGTTTCACCGGCGTGGTTGTTTGAGTGTTGGTCGTTGTGTGTTGGTGGGTTGTGTAACAGTTCACTGAAAACACACAAATCCGCTATATAAACATCGCAACCGAAGGCTAAGGGCAAGCCACAGTCCTCCCCACCGCACGCGTCGCGACGATAATCCGATCCAATTAATTATGTTAATTAATGTGAAGTTAATGTAATTTAATTTTTCCACTTAGATGTAATTAATTAATTGAATAAAAAATTGACATTGAGAGAAGTTCAGACTGCCTTGGGCGGAGGTCCTGTGTCTCGCGAGTGCTCTATTCTCATTTAATAGATCAGGAACACCCTAAGTCGTCGACAAGACATATCGCATAATAATGTCGTGTGTAGCAGCAGACAGTAAATGAGTGCTGGTCTAGTATCACATGGGGGCGAGCGTATGCAGTTTCTCTATGATTAACTGTCACGCTAAAAATCAAGTCGTATACAATTTCTTTTCTGAAGTGTCTCTAATCATTCGTGAAGGAAAAAAGGTTATGACGTTCCAGCTACGTGAGGTAATCTATCTTTCTATAGATACGATTACCCTGAGTAAAGCGTAACTCATTTCTCATACTTATCTATTATATTTCTATTGAAGGAAACTCATATTAGTGTAGTGTCGAATAATCACAGTGATGCACCGCAGCGCGCATACACTCAGAGTACACGGCACGCATACATTACACACAGCACACACGCAATACATACACAAACATCACACACGACACACACCACACACACGACACACACAATACACGCACAGACATCCGACGCACGCGACGGCACGCACG